TATATATATATATATATAAAAATATATATATATATATATATAAACTAATTTGAAAATGATACGATTAACGATCAAAGGTTTAGATGTTAATTGACAACCTTTTCAATAGCTTTTACAATTTCTCTTCGGGTTTCATCACAATCATTTTTTTATTTCCTTGTTCATTGTGAACGCTGGAGAATAGTTTCTTTGAAATATTTTATATCATACGATTATTTTAAGACATTTTCATGTTTATAAATACTTTTTACAGATACAAATATTTAAGTAAATGCTCTGTTTATAATAATCAGTATTAATAACATTTACCGGCCTGAATGTCCGAGAAATTTTCATAGAAAATATTCGTCCTCAGACAGGAATCGAACCTGTATCCTGAAACGGAACCGTCATATAGCCTGACGTGTCTTAATCTAGAACGATCCTCGTATGAGGGTCAAGTAGATCAGTTCCCAGGAAACCGAAAGCCCGACAACAGCACATGAGATTTGATTATAGTGGTGAAGGTTTCGTGCAGGACCATCCACACTTTTTGAAGGGCTGAATACAGAGACCTGGTGCATTACGTGTCACAATGTTCCCAAACGACCCTTCGCAGGTTTTGAATTCTAAGTTGTCCTTCTCCGAGACCAGTTGCCATGCAAGGCTATAGAACTCGGTCTTTCCTGTTATTTACCCATAGCTGGAGGGAGAAGACGAGGATTCATACTATTCCCAAGGGTATTAGCACGTAAGAGAATTCGAACTCTGATTCCTCAATCAAGCCGCTATCCATTACTCCACCGTGCGTCCTTTTATTTATATATATATATATATATATATATATATATATATATATATATATATATATATATATATATATATATATATATATATATATATATATATATATATATGTGTGTGTGTGTGTGTGTGTGTGTGTGTGTGTGTGTGTGTGTGAAAATATATAGAAAATAGGAAGGAACTGGTTAGATTCCCCAAAAATTTCGCTTGAAGATGGAACAGAGCTTACTTTAACTCAATTTAATTCAAATAATTATACTGAAGTTTTCGGCTCTTGTTTTGAAACATGAGACCTCTTATGTCGCGAATTGGAATCATATTTTAAATAAATAATTATATATATATATATATATATATATATATAGAGAGAGAGAGAGAGAGAGATTTTCAGTGAGAGAGTCTATTGATATGTAATTATATGTTGCTGTAAATATTAAATGTTATTAATAAAGTCTGTGTTTCGCATTAAGATTTCTTTGTTTCTCGTGTGAAACGCTTCAATTTTCCTTGGTTGTGTCGTATTTCCTGCGAATTAAAAGGTTCACGTCTCAGCGAAACAGCCGGTTTCATTAAGATGCACGATACATTTTAATTATGGGCGGTAAAGTTGGACCAACCTCCTCGGAGAGAGCAGACTTTTTCCCTCTTGTCTCGCGGAATCAATATGAAATATTATTTTATGTGGAATGCAGCCGATTCTATTTATTTGATTATGAATGCGTGCGTGTGGGCGCCTCTGTGCAGGCGAGGTGGGAGTGGGTGGTGAGTTTGGTGGGGTTGGGCTGCGGTAACCTAATGTCTCCGCTGTGTTTGTGTGCCTGTTCTGTGTGAAGGTGTGTGCGCGCATAGAGCGACTCGACAGGATTATACGGAAATTCTTTCAGTGCATTTGGAGAATCATTGAAAAATTCCTTCAGAGGAAACAAAAGACCAGAAGTAGACAAGAAGACAAAAAGAAATAATTTATATATATTTATATTTTGTGTGTATATGTGTTTGAATTCCCAACTTTCATTGATTATCTATCTATCTATCTATCTATCTATCTATCTATCTATCTATCTCAGCCCGTTCATTATCTATCTATCTATCTATCTATCTATCTATGTTTCATTTACCTATTTATCAATCTATCTAGTGTCATTACTCTTATCTATCTATCTATCTATCTATCTATCTATCTATCTATCTATCTATCTATCTCAGTGTTCATCTATCTATTTCTATCTATCAATCTATCTATGTGTTCATTACCTATTTATCAATCTATCTAGTGTCATTACTCTATCTATCTATATCTATCTATCTATCTATCTATCTATCTATCTATGCGTGTTCATTACCTATTTATCAATCTATCTAGTATCATTACTCTTATCTATCTATCTATCTATCTATCTATCTATCTATCTATCTCAGCCCGTTCATTATCTATCTATCTATCTATCTATCTATCTATGAGTGTTCATTACCTATTTATCAATCTATCTAGTGTCATTACTCTATCTATCTATCTATCTATCTATCTATCTATCTATCTATCTATCTATCTATGCGTGTTCATTACCTATTTATCAATCTATCTAGTATCATTACTCTTATCTATCTATCTATCTATCTATCTATCTCATTCTGTTTCTATCTATCTATCTATCTATCTATCTATCTATCTATTTTTTTTCATTCTTTCTATGTTTTTACATTAATTTTCACACTGTACTTGACCCGGTGGTCATTCGATGTTAAAGGGTTACGTTAATGTTGTAGTTTAGGGAGGGTGGCAACGGTTAACTCTCGACTTGAACAGGTTAAGGTTGCCGTGATCGAGGAGACATCCTCCTATTATCGAGACTGTGCTACTGAGCAATGGTTCGCTGGAAGAAGCTGCTCCTATTTATCAATTCAACTTACTTCTATCTATCCGATGGAATACAGAGGGAATCTGGGTAGGTTTGCTATCTATCTATGTCTATGGCATGGCCGGTCCTAGCCGTGAAGGTCTAGAGAACTGGAGGAACCAAGGAATGGAGTTCGTCCGATCTACTTTAGATAGAAGTGGCGATAGGGCATCTGAGTGACACGCCACATCCCACCTATGAGAGAGAAGTTGGACCCAGATGAAGACTGGAATATGAGGACTGGTAATCTTCCGCCCTATCTATCTATCTATCTATCTATCTATCTATCTATCTATCTATCTATCTCATTCTGATCGTATCTATCTATGTATCTCATTCTGATCGTATCTATCTATCTATCTATCTATCTATCTATCTATCTATCTCTATCTATCTATCTCATTCTGATCATATCTATCTATGTATATCATTCTGATCGTATCTATCTATCTATCTATCTATCTATCTATCTATCTATCTATCTATCTATCTATCTCATTCTGATAATATCTATCTATGTATCTCATTCTGATCGTATCTATCTATCTATCTATCTATCTATCTATCTATCTTATTCTGATCATATCTATCTATCTATCTATCTATCTATCTATCTATCTCATTCTGATCATATCTATCTATCTCATTCTGATCGTATCTATCTATCTATCTATCTATCTATCTATCTATCTATCTATCTATCTATCTATCTATGTAAATGCCGTATATACATAAATACCTACCGACACACTGACTAGCACACCCTTTCTGTAGATAAAAAGACATTTTCATTATGCATATAGATATAAAAAATATTAGATTGAATGAAAATATTCATTGTTGACGAAAGACTTGGCAGGAAGTTGTGAATTCTTTATTCCAGGGGGAAGCGTTGCCATGGTAACTTCGAATCCGTCTTTACTGGCTGACATTGCAAAAACCTGAAATGACAACGAGGAAAAAAAAAAGAATATAAACCGAGAACATTTTTAAAAATAATAATAATAATAATAATAATAATAATAATAATAATAATAATGATAATAATAATGATAATAATAATAATGATGATGATTATAATTATAATAATAATAATGATAATAATGATAATAATAATAATAGAGACCGTAAAGACAAAAAGTGTTTCCTTATGGATATAGCAGTTCCTGCAGACTGCATTGTATTTTTGAAGCTCTTTAAAAAACTATCAAAATACAAGGACCTTGAAATTGAAATCTCAGAAATGTTGCTCATGAGAACATTAACAATTTCGGTTGTAGTTGGAGCCCTCGGATTGATTGGAAAAGATTCCAATAGACTAATTGAAGGAATCCTTGGTAATCCATGCCTTAAAGAAATACAAAAAACTGTACTCCCAAGTACAGCCCGCACTTTACGAAGGGCTTTATCTATGTAAAATATGGGCGATTTGTTTTTTCAAAACTGCTCAGTGGAAAATGTCAGGAGGCCATTTCTGGCCTTAGGTCTCTGGTCGGGAGACCGGAAAGAGATGAGTAGATACCAGAAACCAAAGCCAAAGAAAATAAAACAACAGCAACAACAACAAATATAACAACAACAACAACAATAATGATAATAATAATAATATCAATAGAAGGTTTTGAGACAGGAAAAGAAAAAGTAGACAAAGAAAACTTGTGGATTGTATTTTTTAATTTTGATACAGTCTTTCCTTGGGTGGTTTGCGTTTGGGTTCATGCCTTTTCCTTTCTTCCACCCTCTCGCTACCTCTTCCTTTCTCTCATCCCCTCTTCCTTCCTCTTATATTCTTTTCCGCCGTTTCTTCTTCCTCCTCTCTCTCTCTTTCTCTATCGTGATCCTTTTTTCTTCAGGCACGTAACAGAGAGTGATAGAAAGTTTTTGTTTGACAATGTGGTCAGTTCGATTCGCTTAGTTTAAAACATCATTGAGGTTCCATATCTATCTATCTATCTATCTATCTATCTATCTATCTATCTATCTCTGCCTTTTCATTTCTATCTATCTATCTATCTATCTATCTATCTATCTATCTATCTATCTATCTATCTATCTCTTTTCTTTTATTTCTATCTATCTATCTATCTCTGCATTTTCTATCTATCTATCTATCTATCTATCTATCTATCTATCTATCTATCTATCTCTGCCTTTTCATTTCTATCTATCTATCTATCTATCTATCTATCTATCTATCTATGTCTTTTTATCCATTTATCCCATCTATATCTATCTATCTATCTATCTATCTATCTATCTATCTATCTATCTATCTATCTATTAATAAATACAATAAAATCTTCATTTATTTCCCCTATGCTATGAATTTCGAAGAAATCTATTCTTTAGGGCACTTGTTTTTAGGACTGAATTCATTTTCAGTAATCATATTTCTCTTACAATGTTTCTAAAATATTTTTAAGAATTATATGATTTTTGAAAATAAATCTAATTTTACAATCTAGGTAAACGAAGAATGAATGTTATTTCTGAGAAACTCAAAGTAGATCCAAGATAAGTGAACATTTGATTTTATTAATAACTCTTTCTCTTGATACAAGAGCAACCTAATTACAAACAATGTCTATATATATATATATATATATATATATATATATATATATATATATATATGTGTGTGTGTGTGTGTGTGTGTGTGTGTGTGTGTAGATAGAAAGATATGAACAGACTGAGATAGATAGATAGATAGATAGATAGATAGATAGATAGATAGAATATGGACAGACTGGGATAAATGGATATGAACAGACTGAGATAGATAGATAGATAGATAGATAGATAGATAGATAGATAGATAGATATGATCATAATGAGATAGATGGATATGAACAGACTGAGATAGATAGATAGATAGATAGATAGACAGATAGATAGATAGATAGATAGATAGATAGATAGATAGATAGATAGATAGATAGATAGATAGATAGATAATGAGATAGATAGATAGATAGATAGATAGATATGGACAGATTGGGATAGATGGATATGAACAGACTGAGAAAGAAAGAAAGAAAGAAAGAAAGAAAGAAAGAAAGAAAGAAAGAAAATGAGATGACCATCGTTAACAAGCTTGATCAAGTTTTTTTTGGCGGTTGTCCGTAGAGCGACAATGGCCCTTGATGCCATCAAGAGACCTGCAATGCTTATTACAGACGTTGCAATCTGTCATGTTTTGTACAGGCCCTGTCTTGTTTTGCAAGCTCTTTTCAGCTTGCTCGTGGGTTTATGTGACGGGTGAGACCGGAGCGTTTTCTGCAGATTTTCTGGCGTAGCAAACACACATGGGAAAAGCATGCAACCATCTCTTGAATCCCCCACAGCTATGGGTTAAACAGGAGGAGGGAGAAGAGAATTCAAATTTTGGATTAGAGCATACGCTAACTTATTTGAAAATCTCCTGGTGCAAAGGAAAAGTAATCTACGGTGGACACTAAGAGACATAAATATTTGTTATATATATTAAATAAACACTATATTTATTTAATTCCATCTAGCAGCCTAAACATTCAATCCGGTTGATGAAAATAGATAAATATACTGTTTAAAAAAAAAAAAAGAGCATCTATTCAAATATGGGTATCCATTAAAAATAACGTTTTAGCAATAAATTGTATTAATAGATGTAAAATTAATTTCGGATTACTAACACAAAAACAGAGAATGTCTCATATCGAGAATATTTAACATTGAAAAACATAAGGAAAAAAAATAATTATTTTTAATAATATGTGGAAATCTCCGGCTTTTACCTGAAGACGGTCGCGAGACCAGAAACCCGTGTAGTAAAATTATGGAAAATATAGCATAATATTTAAAAAAAAAATCCACATTACAACCAAAAACGTTTACGGCACCTCTCTTCTCTTCTTTTTAATATACACACTTTTCTTATATATATATATATATTCATATAGACAAAAACAATTTACTCACTACAAAGATGCAACTTCATTTCAGAGCATTTAATTGCATTGACTAGTGAGAACCAAAATGGTTATGAACAATTCTGTTTGTATGCAAGCCGCATGTGAAACGTCACTTCTTTTTTTTTCCATTTGTTTGAAAAACATCATAATACATAAAGTCAAAAAGGTAACGCAGTGAAACAACAGTGCTTGTTGCTAGCAGTTTGGTGAACGATGGTTGAGGTGTTAAAATGATGGCTAGACCTGAATAGTTAGAATTTATATATTATTTTCGTTTTCATTACATTTGGATATATATATATATATATATTAAATATATATTATATCCCCCATATATAATATATATAATATATATATATATACGCAATATATATAGTATTAAAAGATTTAAAGTAATGCGGGAATGGACTAGTAAAAAAAGATTGGGTAAAAAAGGGGTGGGGGGGTGAGGAACGGATAAAAAAAGAACGGAGATCAAGCCATCAGAATGTGTCGATTGACGTTACATTTAAATTTATGTATATATATATATATATATATATATATATATATATATATATATATATTTCTTCTATCTTCCTCTCTCTCTCTCTCTCTCTCTCTCTATATATATATATATATATATATATATATATATATATATATATATATCTTTGTTTGCATCTCACTCCCTCTATATCTGCTTCTGTCTCCATCTCTCTATATATATGTTTCTATCTGGCGCTCTCTATATATTTGTTTCTCTCTCTCTCTCTCTCTCTCTCTCTCTCTCTCTCTCTAGCTATCTAGCTATCTACATATATATATATGTATATATGTATGTGTGTTTCTATTTCACTCATACTAGGTAAATTACTCTGAAAATTTACTCTTGCAGTCCGTGGCTAATTTTCTACGTCCAATGTAGTTCTCCAGGGTATTTTTTTAATTGTACATGCAAGATCTGATCAATAATATATCTAAGGAATTCAAATATATCTAGTGGAGTAATGGATATCGGCAAGGATTGTGGAATTGGTAAAGCTGCGTTCGAATTCTACTCGAATCCATTACATTCACTTACGTGTTAATACCATTGGGAAAGATATGAATCATCTTCTTCTCCTCCACCAGCTAGAGATAAATCGCAGGACATTCTGTTCTGCTATTTACCCAAAGCTGGCGGCGGGGATTTTTTTTTAAGCATTATGCCCCGAGCAAGGCGTGAAGCCACTAGGATGCACGGGGTTGTAGAAAATTTGGAGCAAGAGCGGATAGGAGTGATAGAAGAAAGGATGTGGAGAGGGATAGTGGGTAGATCAAGATAACTGGAGGTGTCGATTGACATTACATTTGAATAGTTGGAGATTATAGCTTACAGGGAAACAGTAATAGGGAAGGGTGTTCCACAGGCGAGAGGTGCGAGGTTTGAAGCTATTGGAGTAGAAGAGACGGCTACATTTAAAGGTAAGAATTATTAGCACATAAGTGAATGTAATGGATTTAATTGGAATTCGAACTCGGCTCTCCGATTCCTCAATCCGAGCCGCTATCCATTACTCGACTGTCCCGTGTAATTTACTAAGCGAAGCTTAGATGTGGCACAAGGCCGAAAATATGGAGCGCGTAGTAAGGATCGAATTCACTACTTAGCAAAGCTTTCTAACCATTACACCACATCGAAGTGCTCAACTACAAAAAAAAAAAAAAAAAACAACACTAAAAAACAATAGAAATAAGATGAAAGGAATACTAGTCAAAATTAATAAGAATTAACGAGGCTTCATTAAATTATTATTATTAGTTTGTTTGGTAAATAATGTCCGATTTTAGAATAAACCTATTGTGTATTAATGTATTATAATATTTGTACAAAAATATATTAGTCATTCTTAATGATTAAAGTGTCCTTTTTTTAATTTTATATCTCTTTCTGAATTTAATTCAAAACATTACCGTCCTAGGTATGACGATAAACAGCATCCGCGTCCTGGGTAAGACGATAAACTACATCCAACAGCAAGGCCTCTGATCAGGATGTTTTGAGGAGCGTGGAACCACCTCTTAATTGCTGGGGTTCCCAGGTCCACCCTGACCCAGGGTGGTAGCACCTGATGGGGTCCCAGCTATGGGCAAATAGTTAACCCTGAAACTGAGGTAAAAAGCATTATAAAATATTACCAGCAATACGTTTTTGAAGGAAAAACTATTACCAGCAATACGTTTTTGAAAATAATGTTACCAGCTATAAGTTTTTGAAAAAATAATTACCAACTATACATTTTTGAGGAAAAAAATATTAACAGAAATAGATTTTCGACAAAATCAAAAATATTACCAGGAAAAAAGTTGTCGGAATTAAATGACCCATTGAGGTTGATATGCCGTAAAACAAAACAAACATCAAAATATATGTCCTTCATTTTGAACATGAAAAAGAAGAGATGCGTTTACTTTTTTTGCATGTATTCAAGCTTGGCAATAATGCTTATCAACCTGCTGCCAACATTAACAGAGCCTGGGTGAAGGATCCACTTCGGATCAGGGAATTTCCTTTTGAGGATACAAGTCTTAAAGTTGGTAGAGGATGTCGTTCTGCAATTGACACTCTACGTCTAAAAACATCACTCGAACAAAAACCCACATCAGAATGTCTTGGATAATGCGTGTCAGCATTTCAACAATGTCGTACCATTTCAAGAGAATTGGCAAGGTAAAGGAACCTCGATAAATGGGTTCGACATGAAGTCAGGGAATGTCAAAGAGTTCGGCGTTTCGAAGTGTGTTTCATGCTGCACCTGCGAAATTCAAATGATCCATTTCTTCGTCAAATAGTGACATGTGGTGACAAATTTAGAACAATCGTAAGAAATCGTGTCAATGTCTTCTGCAAGACAATGCAACTAAAAACTTTCAAAATCCGAAATTCAAGGCAACATTATGGTGATTGTCTGTTGCTTTGCCATTGGCATTATTCACTACAGCTTTCTGCATTCTATCCAAAGCATCACTGTAGAAGTTTACTGCCAACAACTGAATAAAATGCACATTGAATTAAGCAAAATGCAACAATCACTAGTTAATCAATAAGATCCAATTCTGCTTCATGACAATGGTCGGCCACATGTTGCCAAGATGATACTGCAGAAGCTCCCCAACTTGGGATATAAAACTTTGACACATCCACCATATTCCAGAGATCACTTGCCCACTGGCTATCACTTTTTCAAGCATCGTAATAATTTTTTAAGCCAATAGACATTCACTTGCAAAGAAGTGGCAGAAACTTCATTCAAAGATTTCTTGGTGACTAAACTCTTAATTCAATGGCAGAAATGGACAGAGGTTCAGGGTTCTTATTTTAAACACTCTTTAAATGTATTTATTTGGAAATAAATGTTGATTCTAAAATCACACATTATTTTTTGAATAACCTAATAGATTGCAGATTCTTTTCAGTAATTACGTACTAAGAAAGTAAACGAGGGTTGGAATTCTCAAGTACTGATTAAATTTAATGGATCCTTTATTATAATTGAAAACAATTGGTTCAATGGCTTGATTACAAAAAAAAAAGCATCTAAACACTTCTAAAACTGAAATTCAAACAAACATTATGGTGATTGTCTTTTGGTTTGCCATTGGCATTATCCACTACAGCTTTCTGCATTCTATCCAAAGCATCACTGCAGAAGTATACTGCCAACAACTGGATAAAATGCACATTGAGTTAAGTAAAACGCAGCAATTACTGGTTAATCAACAATGTCAAATTCTGTTTCATGACAATGTCCGGTCACATGTTGCCAAGATGATACTACAGAAGCTCCCCGACCTGGGATACAAGACTTTGCCACATCCACCATATTCCACTGATCTCTCGGCCACTGATTACCAATTTTTCAAGCATCTTGACAATTTTTAAGCCAAAAGACATTCGATTGCAAAGAAGATACAGAAACGGCATTCAATGATTTCTTGCCTAAACTTTTATACTTTTTTTTTAATATCGTAATTGCATAAATAACCCCGTAAATCGATGGTAGAAATGTTTAGGCGTTTAGCGTTCCAATATGACTGATTTACTTAATCGATCGAGCAAGCACGGATATTCAACAGTCTATCATGCCAACCATCACAGACCAATATGAAGATCGGAAGGTCATTACAGTGACATCCGGTGTCATATCATAGTTGGTCAATGTAGGTGGTTGCTGAGCT